AGACAGCAAATGTTTGTCTAAAATTACTATTATAACATTATTCTATATATTATACCTAAGACTGATGTTTTTTAACTGCACTATTTTAATTAGTAGTAAAATATGTTTTATTTGTATTGATTATTTTTATWTTATTATTGTTTTTACCAAGTCTGATATTTTTAATAATGAATAAACATTACCAATTAATGTGGAACTGTTTAGTGAAGTTTATGCGACCACTACTTAATTCTATATGGGAAGCAACTAGTGTGAAAATTTTTTGGAGGCAACTCGTATATAATTATGAACTACCAAGTCATCGGAGGCAACTAATGTAAATTAACCTTTTTATTTACGATAAGGACGGGAGGCAATTCGTATATTTTGGGAGGCAACTAGTATGCGCCGGTTTAAATAGACTTGTCTCGTATGGAAAATTGGAACGATGAGCTTGTAGGCTTGTAGWTTAACAATTTTAGGGTAAAAACTATACATGTTTATGTATATACTGTATCATCGTCCAATTCAATTATATTATTTTCGTTATACGCATTGTTATTTGAAACACGTACCTAGGTATCGATTTCGTTTAATATAATATTATATATTTAAGTAACATAAGATTTTATATCAAATTATCAAACGACGTAGTACAACAAAAACCAATTAAAAACAATAATTTTTTATTTTATAAMAGTTAAGAAAAATTGGAAAAAAAAAACTGGCAAAGTCAGTCGATCTGCTGTATTGAAAGTTTCGAGTTTAATATTTTGAYGAGGTCACTGAAATGAATACGTATAATATGAATTCAATGATAAATCATCGCATACAAATGTATATGAGTGAATGAGACGAGTGGATCAGCATTTTTTTAAAGATAACAGTGTCATTTTATATTTGTATAATTAATAGTATTTTATTTAATATATTATAAATCAATGGCGGCGTAGAATGGTATGCGTATAGGTTCGTGGTATGTTGGAATGAATAGCTTAAAATGAGAGAAAGAAACTCTTCGCAGAGGTTATCGCGAGTATTTTGCGTGCTATGCTATTCCGATTTTAGAAGTTCTCTGCAAGGCAGCGTATTTCTTGAATAATATCCGACATTTTCCGATAATATCATCAGAATAGTGCAAATCTTATTTTTGCTCCGTATGGAAAAGCCTACCAATATTCAACACTAAGACCATAACCTTATTTACGGGAAATATCATTCAAGTCCCGACAAGGGATTAGKCTCCCATGAACGACTCTGAATCGATTGATAAGTTCCACGGTGCTGAGAGTCATTCAACGATGATCACGATGGGTGTTGACGAGAGGCGTAACGTTAAGCTGCACCGAGACAATATCGATAATGTGTCTGTACAGGAGACGTTTTCAATATTTTTTAATTCATTTATATTTTAAAATACAACTGAGACGCCCTCACCGATCAACCCTGTGTTTAGCTACAGCAACCACCGGGCTGCGCAAAATGACAGAAGCCACTGCGTCAATTTTGATTTCCCAAATGTTACTTATAATATATATACACAGCTCGATGAAAGTGTAATAATTTCCTGCAAGTGCGTCGGCCGTTGCACTCAGCGACATGTTTTCCCGCACGCAAAACGTATAATAATAATGATATTAATATAATTAACAACGTTTACATTCCGAACTTCAGAGTTTGAACGATAGTAGATCAAAWAAATCATAGGACTTCGGTGTTCGCGCTAAAACAGGTATTTTCTGTGTGCCGATTGAGAGCATACTGTATTTTTTTTTTGCAAAATACCAACCCGTTAAATATTTATGACTTGTCGATAGATATTCCAAAATACAATAAGACTCCGTTTTTACGAAGTCGTAATACTAAATTGATTTTTAATAGCAATGGTCGATATAAATGTCATTATTAAGTATGATTTTCACAACATGACGACGAAACATAAAGACATAGTGTATAAACACAACTCAATTATAACCACGTAAGCAATAATGCATATTTACAACCACACGTTCCATCGCCGCTATATTTACCTACTTCTATTTTGATTAAGACTTTTTTTTTGCAAACTGGATGCTTGGCTTACGGTGATATGTGGTCAATATAGATAAAACACCGACATTGCTTAATGTCGTTATCGTGATCGGCTTACTATCAATTATTGAAATCATGTGCTCTATGACAATGTGTATTATTGTATATTAAAATATAATAATATATAATATGCTTTAATATCGTTATAAAGTTATAACAAATTGAAAATGTTATGTTTTAATTGGGTACAAAATTTTTTTTGTAAACATTAGTCATTTTCACGTATTTTGTTAAAATTTGAATTCCAAACACTTAAAAATCGTGCTTATACATTTTTAATATTTTTAGGCWTCAAGTAGAATAACAAATGTGGGATATTATACAAAAATGTTATGCTTTTTGATCGAGAAAAGTGATTACAGTTATTCCTAAATGCACTAAAAAAAAAAAATCGATAATGTCAAAAACTGATGTTTTATAAATATTTCCTTTTTCTCGATGTTAAAATGTAGTGGGTACTGATCATTAAAAGTATAAATACTATTAACTAGATCAAATTCAGTTCGTTCAATTTTCGAAGATTCAAATGTTTCTCTCCAAAACGTAAGAAAAAATAATAATACGAGTATATCACATAATTGATTAATTTACCATTGTACATATAAGKGATATAACTAATGCATTCCTCGCTATTTGTGGTATTTGATATGTAAAATAAGAATTGAACACAGAACAGTAAGTCTAGACAACAGTATATTATAATTCACACATAATTTTTCATGTAGCACGTATCTGATACATGCTGAAAGTGATGAAATATAATATTTTGAAATTATTAGCAAGATATGAACATGTGAACAAAATATCCYAGCTATCGTTTTGTCGGTATAACAACAATAGTACTTATATCAGTTTTTCAATTTTGGAAAGATTA